GTAACCCAAACATGAAAGCTTGTAACTATCTCACGGTGATTCAATAAAATTTTTTAAAAAGAAAAGAAAAAAATAAATTAAAAGCATAGTGCTATTAGGAGAGGAGGTATGGCTAGTGATTCACACCCCCACCCTCGAGACTTGCCTGGAGTATGGTGACATATACTTCACCAGGTAATAAAGTCTGGAATTGCAAAAAGGTCTGTAAATGATGAGTAAAATACCTGATTGATCTCAATTCCATTTTGTTTGGAAAAGGTGTCCCAGGTAACTGAACTGCCTTTTCACATAGAAAACACTACAAATGGAAGAGATCCTAGAAAAGGAGAAAGCTGTTTTCATGTAGATAACATGTGTGGAAGTACATTGTTTGCACTAATTCGGAAAAATGCAAATAAACTTTTTAACACATACTATGCAAATTCAGTTTTAGAATGGAACATTTCTAGAAATTATATAGAAAAGTTGATTAGTGAATAAAAACTTTCCTATTCACACTTGAGAAATAAGAAAGAGAAGCAAAATGTGTTATGGGTATTGTGGTCTATGATACCCAGAGTAGTAAGTGTATAAAATCCATTTCATAATGTGTTTCTTCTAAGTATAGATACTACAGTATTTACCAAGCTTGAGAGATCATTTGTTGTGTAGATTTCCTACCACTATTCAGTCTTTCTCAGCAGATTCTTCACTGAAACTACAAAACCAGAACTTGTATTTGAGTGATTTTCTTCTCATATCTTTTGAAGATGATACAGACCCTAAACTATTCTATATTTTTCGCAAAGAAGGAGGCCCAATATGCACAACACCTCTCATGAGGGCTGATTCTCTCAGGAAGCACTAGCTGTAAAACAATAATACAATATGTGTAAGTCATGAACACATCATAATTGGTCTTACTGCATGGGTACATGCATCCACCCACACATTTCCAAAAAGAGTCCTCTATTTTGAACTGGTAACACTGAAAGCAGATACATTACCTCCAAGACTTGTCAAAGGAAAAATTCATTTATATTCATATGATAAAAAAGACCATTTTTTTTTCAACTGAAAAAACATAACAGGAAGATCAGCAAATCTTTTGTCGATATGCAAATTATACTCAAACAGAAATAGACTCTTGTTGCATTTGTTATAAAGAATACTAAGAAGATGTTGTAGGCAAGTCAGACCAAAATGCTTTCCTCTGGAGTACTCAGAGTTATTTTCAAGTTTGCCATTAACCAACAAATAGTTCTAAAGCATTGTCCTCTTCCATGATCGGGAAGCTCTTGGCACAAAGCACTGTGTATTGGCACAAAGCACTGTGTATTTGGTGAATCGCTTGCTATTTTTTCTTTATTTATATTGAATTACATTTAATTTCCTTGTGTAAAAGAAGAGGTAATGATCTGTCTCTCATTTTAGTCACAGGTGGGGATTTGGAATTCCAGAATATTGTTGGTAAATAATAATAATAATAATAATAATAATAAGTATATTTGAAAGGAATTTGTATATACACATTGCCAGCTAGGAGTCTGACATGGCACCAGGTAGTATGCACATATAATCTCATCAAATCCCCATGAGGTAAGTGGTTGCATCTCCACTAGAGGTTTAAAAGTGAGACTCCGGGTCACATAGCCATTGCAAAACAGGGATTCATACATGTCACATGGATCAACTGTTCAGATTTTCCCTGGTATTAGGGCATATTTTCTTAGTGATGACTGAAGAATAAATCAGAATATTTTGCTTATTTTTAATATTTTATATGAGTTCTTCAGGAGACAAGATCTTTATCATATGACCCTCTTTAACTTTCTTTCATATACAAACAAAAGAAATAAGGAGTAGTTAAGATGAAGAAATGAAAATTTATGAGTGATAATGTGAACTTGGCCTCCTGGTCATAACGGATTCAAGTGTACAGATTTCCCTAAGAGTTGCTGCACCATGTTTCACAAGAAAAGAAGGTCAGATCTCAGAAGACAGAAGCACTAATGTACTTCGAATGCAGTGATGGAGGAAAACACATATATTAAAATGTAGTCAGATGATTTAATTATGTGTTCTGATTCTCAGATTGGGGTGATATGTCAGCTTGGGTCAGAATTATTTCTGCTCCTTTATCCATTTTAAATTTTTCTTTTCAATGATGCAATAGCACAGTGGGTAGGGCGTTTGCCTTGCACACAGTTGACTGTGTTCAAACCCCGGTTCGATTCTTCTGCCCCTCTCAGAAAGCCTGGCAAGCTACCAAGAGTATCTCACCTGCACGGCAAAGCCTGGCAAGCTACCTGTGACATATTTGATATGCCAAATACAGTAACAAGAAATCTCATGATGGAGAGGTTACTGGGCCTGCTCGAGCAAATCCATGAACAATGGAAGGACAGTGCTACAGTGCTTACAGTGCTAGTTTGAGTGATGGCCTTACGTTAGGGGTCTCAGTAACAAAAAAAAAAATGTCCTCAGGTCTTAGCTAGACCAAGTGTCTAAGGATGACTATTATACATATTTTAACTTCCAGACAATTCATTCTCTCCTGCCTCCCACAAAACTATTCTGGGTCTTCTTCCTTCTTGGTATGGGGCCTAGAGCAAATCTGCTGTGAAAAAAAAGAGAGACCAGAAACAAAAGCATTTTCTTTTGTCCAAAAGCACAATGCAGAGGCACTCTAAGAATAAGAGGAAGTCTTTTTGCTTACTTATTTTTAACAAAGCATTAATATTTATTAACTTGCACTCTGCTCTGGAATGAATGTTTTATGATCAAAAATGAGTAGCAGCAAGATGGGGATTTCACCTCTAAGTTCCCAGTGACAAAGAACTCTGGATGGGGTGAAAAAAACCACTGTCTCCGTATTTTAAGAGGAGCCATTCAGTCATCCAGACAAAGGAGTGATTGAATATTATTCTTTGTGATTACTGGAAACAAGAATCCAAAAGTTATGTCCTTCCTTTATCAATAAGAGTGAACTGAAATGAAGTTATGAATTAAGGTTGTATGAATGCCAGATTAACAGATAGGACATATATCCAAAGAACTGATGGATATTTCAAAATTTAGTGACACATCTTAAATTTAGATTAGATCCATTTTCAAAGAATTCTGAAAAGAAGGGTTTTTTTTCCTTCACTTTTGAACAAAAGCATGTCTATCTCAAAGTCTCCTATTCATTCACTATTTGTTGAGTAAATTCTGTTGTCAGGCACACAGAAATGTGGGTTTTGAAATCAGTATCAACATCTGAAAAATGACTTTCATGAGATCTTTTTGCCTCAAGATTGCCTTTACTAAATCATTTTGTAATTCCTTAAACAAGCCACTCAATCTTAATAAAGATATTTGTGGTGAATTATTACACGCTTAAGATAAGAAGTGTCTCAACTCTGTAATTAATGTACACAGTAAAGGTGCGGAAATAAATACTCACCGGCATTTGTATCTGTCCTGTCAATTCCAGTGATTCAGTACAGGGATAACTATCTTCAGACTATGTAAAAAATCAGCTTGTTGAATTGTCCTTTTCATAGTCTTGAGAGTTTTTTCCAAAATATTTTAATAGTAGAGATGCTGGAGATATAATACTGGATAAGGCACTTGCCCTCCAAACAGCTTTTTCTTCGTTTGATCCCCAGCACCATATATAGACCCCCAGTACTGCCTAGAGGGTCCATAAGCACTGGTGTGGCCCAACCCTTTCCCCAATTCAAATGAAAAAAATAGATTTGCCATCAAACATCTTGTTTACGTTGGGTATAGATTTTGGAAACTTCTTTATTTCTTTTGTCAAGGGTCAAAGAAGGTGCTGGGGTTATAAGGCCCTCCCATTGATCATCGATTTGCTTGAGCGGGCCCAGTAACGTCTCCATTGGAGACTTTGTTGTTACTGTGTTTGGCATATCGAATACGTCACGGGGAGCTTGCCAGGCTCTGCTGTGTGGGCGAGATGCTCTCGGTAGCTTGCCGGGCTCCCCGAGAGGGGCGGAGGAATCGAACTCGGGTTGGCCATGTTGGCTGTGTGCAAGGCAAACGCCCTACTGCTGTGCTATCGCTCCAGCCCATTGGGGTTATATCTGGGCTAAAACTCAGGGTTTTACTCATGCAAGATAAGGACTGAGTTATAACACCCCACCAGGCCCCAGGCATAACCTTTGAAATCAGATAAAACTCATGTGTATTCTGGTTCTGTGTAAAATAAAAAAAAAATCTACCTTTATCTATCATATAAACATAACAGTCAGCACTTTATATGTATTGCAAGGAACACATATAAAATAACTAGCTTATAATAGGATTTGCTTTTTATATCACAAATCAGAAGTGCCACACTCAGCATTGCTGTTTTGGATCACATAATTCACCATTAAATTTTAGAAAGGATAAAAAAAAGATTGAAATAAACACTTTGGGCCTGGTTTATAGTCATCTCAGGACATTTATTTTCCAACCAACATTTCCACCTGCATGAAGCACCTAATAATAATAGTATTGATTTTAAGTAACCCATCTTTACATTCAGAAAGGGTCTGAGAGACATCCTCTCTTTACTCCATCCCTCCCCCCTCCCACTGCATTCCCTCCACCAACCCCACCCCCTCCACCCCATTTCTCCAAAATCATGCTGACCTTGCTGCACCTAATAGATTACGGAAATCATGGGAAAGAGAAGGAAGGAAATAAAATAACTAGGAGTAAAAAATATTTTTGTTTAATCAGTTCATAAGAAATCAACTGGCAAGTGAAACAACCATTCATGCACATGTCTCTGAGTATAAGAAAAGCACAAATACTAGTTTCTGTATGAATTCAGTAAATAAACCATCATTTGCTTTGAAGGGAACACAGTCCATACATCTTGCCTTTCCTCATAACTGTCATAAGAAGATGCTGCTGACTGTGCTCTCCGGGGACCATAGAATGAATTTCTATTTCCTTACTCTCTTCCTGGTTCTCCTCTTCTTTCCTTTCTTTGACTTCTGCCTATTTCTTTTGAAATCCTGCAGGTCGTCCGGCCCTATCAGACCATGTCCAACCCCATGAGCAAGCTCACTGTTCTCAACAGCATGCATTCTCATTTCATCCTGGCTGACAACGGAACCACTGGAAAATACGGAGCCGAGGTGAAACTTCGAAGACAACTGGAAAAACATATTTCACTCCAGAAGATAAACACAAGTAAGTAGGCTCCCTCCCTTCTCACGGTCATAGCTCCTAGGAAGATAACCTTTAAGCTCACTCACCATGCAGGCATATTAAGAAAATTTGAGCCTGGATCATTATTTCTACTGGGCCAGTGCTTAGAATTAGAGGAAATTCTGTGATGGAGGAAGATGGGAGGTAGAAGATGCGATTGCACAATTAGTGAGCTTAAGCTCATATACTAGGTATGAAAAATCCAACTCCATCTGAGATTTGTAAATGCAGATAAGCTTTTCTCTTCAAATTTTTCCTATTTCCTTTCACAATACCCTAAGGAGGAAAAGCTCCTTTGGGAAATTGTTCTGTTTATGAAGCTATTTTTGGTAGCTAAAAATAAAGAAAGAAAAAAGGGGAAAAAAAGCAAGTTTTGATCTGAGCAGGGATCTGGCTGTTCTAGGCATTGCAAGGAGGTTGATATTGTCTAAACTAAACCATCACGTGTAACCAACTTGATGATGCTTTAACTCTATAATTTATTCATCTCTTTCATGTACATGTATTTAAATATATGTGTCTACGTATATGTAATACACACTATATATGTGAGTAGTTTTCCTTTAACACAAGGACACGTGTCTTGTGCTGTATTTATTGTGTACATGTTTGTTTTAACCATGAAAAACAAACATAGCAAACTCGGTAGATCACTAATTGGCTGGCACTGAAATATGATAGAGGTATTAAAATAACCTACTGGCCTTCCTCATAAATTAAAGGTCAATTTGTTTTCACAAAGTCACATTCAAGGGCTCAGGACTGGCTCAAACTCTGTGGTAATTGCGTCTTATAGTAGAAACTTTGATCTTGTTGATTGACTTTCAAGGTCTTCAGATAGAAACAATAGAAAACTTCTCTTTAGCTAAGCCACTTCCAAGTGATTCAGCCTGGCCCAATGGCTTTACTCTTGTCTTGGATTTTTCTGCAGTGGTCACAAATGGGGTTTGCATGTCAGAGATCCTTCCTTCCCCAAACTGGAATGTTCTACCTCACAGACTACTACACTCTTCCCAGCCTATCTTTCCTGATTCTACTTTGCAGGAGATCCTGCTATTTTAAGACAGCCAAGTTTTGTGCCTTCATCTGTTTCATAGGGGAGTATGGAATAGTCGATTTGGGTATGTTGACTAACGTCAACTTTGCACAGGGAAAAGTCTCTGCTATCGAAGAATTCTCTACTGCCTTTGCCAAGAGACAAAGTGCTATCCTGTGGTAAACATCTTATGGATAAAGAAATGTAGAAAAACTAGAGAGCTGACCCAGAGACCAGGACAGATTAGTTGTAATAAAGCATAGAAACAATGGGCAGAGATTTTCTTCTACAAATGTTGAATTTTATTATAGCATTTGATAGAATAGGAAAATGGGGGATCTACATAGGGCTTCAGAGACTGCATACATACTAATCTGCGTACTTACTCATCTTCCACTATAATGTTAAGAATAAAGCCCTGGGGCTGGAGCGATAGCACAGCGGGTAGGGCATTTGCCTTGCACGCAGCCAACATAGCCGACCTGGGTTCAATTCTCAGCATCCCATATGGTCCTCCAAGCACCGCCAGGAGTAATTCCTGAGTGCATGAGTCAGGAGTAACCCCTGAGCATTTCCGGATGTGACCCAAAGGTAAAGGTAAAGGCCCTCCCGTTGATCGTCGATTTGCTCGAGCAGGCCCAGTAACGTCTCCATTGGAGACTTTGTTGTTACTGTGTCTGGCATATCGAATACTCTCGGTAGCTTGCCGGGCTCTCCGAGAGGGGTGGAGGAATCGAACTCGGGTCGGCCATGTTGGCCACTTGTAAGGCGAACGCCCTACCGCTGTGCTATCGCTCCAGTCCAGTGCTCAGTAATGAAGCAAAAGCTATCCAGTCAAGCAAAGCATGGAATTGCTCCAGATCCTGGTGGCAGATGGGCCAGTTAGTGGTAATGGGAGAAGAACTGGGTGTGGACTGAGTAAGTAATAATCCAGTCATGGGTGGTTGAGTTTAACACTGAGCTTAGTGCCCCAACCTGCATTATAGGCTGCCCCAAGGGAAGATACTTTTCTCTACTCCATCTTCCCTGAGAAATAACATTTGTAACATATGTGCTTAGTGGGGCCTGTCTCCAAAGCTCATTGAGGTTGGTACTCTTCAGAAGTGATGCAGGAAAGTAGACAGCAGCCTGGCCTCAGTGAGGAGCTCATCCCAGCTGCAGGGAGTGGAAAACCAAAACAAAGTGAGTGATCACCTTGATGCTGGAGAAATCAGCAAGCACACACTGCATCCTGTTGTTGAAGACAGTGAGCCCTTGCTGTCTTAACCGCAAGTGAGCACATTGACAAGGGGACACACCGTCAAGGGTCTAAAATGCAAACTAAGAAATAGACACAGACCCAGATGCCAAGCTGATCCGAGAAGCTGGCTTGAGACTCCTAGAATGCTCCAAGCCCACAAACAGAATGAAGCTTAGAATTTGAGTGGAGACTGCGCCGACAGAATGAGTTCAGTGGATGGAACTGGAAGAGAATCCATGCAGATGGAGCCAGATGGTCATTGCAATCATCATTATTTATAAATCTAATTTTCCTCCTGGCTTTGGGAGCTGTATTGAGGCCTCATTTAAATCCACAGACTTTCATTTGGTGAAAATGATTAAATGGGAAGAAGAAGGTTAAAGGTGCTCAGCAGAGATCCCTGAAGTTACAGGAAGTTAAATGGCCCAGGGATGAGTATTTGTCATTGACATAGTGAATGATGTCAAGAGCCAACTCCCGCCCTAGTTCCATCCCAGAGCTGCAGTATGAGGGTGACTGGCTTATTCCAGTTTGCCTGCAGCTTTTTGGGTTTCAGAATTGAGAGATTGAGAGTTTCGTGAACCTGAAACCCTCAATCACAAGGAACAAAGATGATAAGTGATCCCCCAAAGCAAGGAACTCAAGATTTTAAGCACTGCTTCTCTCATAACTGCAGGAGAATCAGTGAGGGAACAAAACTTAAGGAGGTAGCTAGGCCCATAAATAGAACCAAAACTAGAGGTGTCTATTCCATTAGTGGAGACGCAAAACATGCATGGAGAATACACGAGCTTCAGAAGAGCATTCCAAGAGGAGAAAAGTCAAAGTTTAGAACAGAATATGAATCTTTGACGTACTCCCTAGTAGATGTTCTAGAATAATCCTACTTTCAATCTGGTAAATATTAGTTCTTTAAGTAGGAACCATGCAGTTGCTTCTATTGAAAGTTGAATTATATTCAAGTGCATTCACACATTTAATTTTAAGTCCCTTTTTAAACATTTAGAAAATCTAAAATATAGTAATGGAATTTTATTTTTGGAGGCCTCAAGTTCAGTGTCTCCTGAAAGCTAGACACTATGATAAAGTATACTGTACTACCATCACACCATTAGAAATATGTTAAGTCTTGAATAGCACCCTCTTGAACTACAATAGTCCAATTATACATGATTTTTTTAAATATACAAATGTAGGGCCAGAGAGATGGTGCAGGGTTATGGCGCATGCCTTGTATGCAGCCGACCCCCATTTATAACCAGGCACTGTCCTGCAGGACCTTGAGCATTACAGCTTGGCCTGGAGAATCCTCCTCACTGCATTGGCCCCAGCCATACCATATCCTTAGGCCCTTGTATTGAACCACCAGCCAGAGTGTCTGGGAATACCTCTGGACCTCCTGAACTTTCTGAGTATCATATGGGAGCCCCCCATATATATGTATTATACACACACACATACACACGCGTGTGTATTTTCTCTTCCTTATGCTTTCCTTATGTTTTTCTTGGGCTGGAGCAATAACACAGCAGGTAGGGCATTTGCCTTGCACGCAGCCAACCCGGGTTCGATTTCTCCACCCCTCTTGGAGAGCCCGGCAAGCTACCAAGAGTATCCCACCGGCATGGCAAAGCCTGGCAAGCTCCCCGTGGCATATTCGATATGCCAAAAACAGTAACAAGTCTCACAATGGAGACACTACTGATGTCTGCTCGAGCAAATCGACGAACAACAGGACAGTGCTACAGTGCTACATGCTTTTCTTAATAACATGATTTTTCTCTAACTTTTTTATTTTGTTTTTGTCTTTTGGGCCACAGCTAGCAGTGCTCAGGACTTACTCCTGGCTCTGTGCTGAAGAACTGCTTAATCCTGGCAGGGTTCCATGACCCATAAAGGGTGCCGAGAATCAAACCTGTGTCTCTTGTGTACAAGGCAAGCACCCTACTTGCTGTACTATAACTCCAATTGCAAAATTTTGTAACTTGATTTTTTATTTTAGGCATTGTGCTTACTTTCAGTGCAAGAACTTATATAATGCATCTACAAAATAATGTGCTAAATATTTTATTGATAAGAGTTCTAGTGAACAGCTCATTAGTAAAGTTTTATAAAACTTCAAAAGTAGTACTTGAATTTTCATAGACCTGGAGGATATGGGGGTTCAACTCTCTTAGCCTCCCATTGTTCCAGGATTGACTGTATCTAGAACGGCCTTGGGGCTGTCTTATAATACTTAGCATCTTCCTCTTTTGCTGTCATTCCTTCTCCTCACTTCAGAGTGAGTTGTGTATCATGATAACCTTCCACTGAATCTATTTCTAACAGAAGTGACAAACATCCAGAGAATAATTTTCTTAAATGTTAAGTGAATTCTGTCCAGGGGACCTTTATGCCTTTCTCATCAATATGCCAGTTGTCACTGATACATCTTAAAAACCCTAGTATTTTTGCTTTTTCTTGGCATCCTGGCATCTGATATCTTCTCCCCTCCCTCCACTCATTGCTGCTGTCAACAGGCAGTCCTAAATCATCACCTCTGGTTACTTTAAAGATTTCATCTTAAAGAAAACTCCTTCTAAGTGTTCCAGTTTTAAAGACACCTGCTTTGGAACACTTCCATCCACAATTTTTCACATTTCGAATGTATTACACATTTCTAGTTTAACACGGGAAGCCTTAAACACTTCTTATAATTGCTTAAAG